CAGACAACTGTTAGTATGACAATATTTACACAACTATCAATACTTTGTTGACCAATTACCAAGCAATGCTTAATTGTGTTCAGTCTGTGGTTTAAAAAGGTCGCATTAGCAATTAAAGAAAATAAGAAAGTAATTCAGTCAAGAGCAGTGAGTGATTTTCTTTCTTTCATTTTCTTGGATTAACATTACAGCAGCTAGTAAATTAGGTGCGGTCACTTTAAGAGGCAATGCATCCATTATAATGATACACATCCGATTCCCTTTCGAACGTTCACTTCACGTTGTGTATGGGGAACGCATCCAATCACGCCGCGCTATGAGCAGATACAGGACATCCTGCTCTGCGAGCCCAGTTTCGGAGCACTAATAAGGACCCCTAAGAACCTGAGCACATTGTGCTCCAAGCTATTAGCTGAGAAGCACCAATTTAACCAACTTCGCCCAAGGGGAAAGCGTGGAACATTAAACAGACAGAACTCGCGCCTGTAAAGCAGGGACGTCTAAGTTATAAAATCTGGCAAATGTGGATGGCGACGACCAGCCGGCGGCCGCACAGATCTAACCAATATAAATTCCGCTGGACCATGCCCAGGAGGAGGCCGTCCCTCTTGTGGAATGGGCCCTCACACCTATAGGGCATTGCAAGCCTTCTGAAGCGTAAGCCAAGGCTATCGTATCGACAATCCAGCGAGAAAATCGCTGCTTTGTGGAAGGGGGTCCTTTATGGTGGCCTCCAAAGCAAACGAAAAGCTGCTCAGACTGCCTAGACAGGCTAGAGCACTCTAGGTATACTCTCAGAGCCCTTACTGGACAGAGCATGTTCGGACCCTGCTCACCATCTGTAACGGGGAGCTCCAATAGTACTGACGTAACCTCGGTTCCCTGAGATAAGGGAATGAGCGCTGTGTCACTTGCCGTGCTATAAGCTGCACATGAAACGATGACTGTCGCTTCAGTCGAATGATCTGATGAAATGGCGCTGCGAGCCAACTTATATTCACGTCGGCTCCGCCCTTTCTGGCGGGCTAAAGCACTATTGGTTTGTGCAGCTACACAAACGTTAACAAATCAAGCTTTAGAACAGAGTAAAACAGGAGTTTTCCCCATACACAACACTCGTTCCCTTATCTCAGGGAACCGAGGTTATGTCAGTAACCGGAGCATTTCTTTCTCCACTGTTTACTTTCACTTAAGACATAACTGACAGTTTTTTCGAGGATACTCTCCAAGACGGGTAGTTTGATATAATTTTTTGTGTATTTGTCGGTACAAGAGCAAGAAGAGGCAAATTTATGTGTTCAAGCGCTTTGAGATGCGTCTCTCTGCGTGCACCCTGTGCGCACAGAACACTGCGCGTGGATGCTGAAATGGGCTCTTTCACATCTTTTTCTGTTTGCATGTTTAAACTGCGATTTGTATTTCACGAGTTCACACTAACATATAATGTGATTAAGCAATTAGTAGCATATTTGGCGTGCTGTCCAGAGGGAGGGCTCCGAGCTCGGGTTAAAGCCCGAACCCAGAGAACTCCCCAAAAGAAGCTAATGGCATGAGAGAGCAGCCAGAGAGAAAATTATAAGTATCCCCCAAAAATATGCGTGCCGTGAAGAAAAGTAGGGTGTGCGAGGAGGCGGCAGGGCGACTGAGGGGGTTAAAAAATTCCGACGTGGTGACGTGTTCTTTTTCCTGATCTGATTTACTTTGTTTTTCGCTGTCAAGCACAGAAAGATTGGAGACGGTTGGATGGAGTTTGGGGTTGAATAGAAGTTATTGTGAATTCCAAGCATCTCAGGAAACCACAAAAAGCCAGTATGAACATAGCGTCGAGTCTACGAGCGGTATGGAGTGAGTGGTACCCTGTGCGGAGAATGTGGATACATTTAGAAAGGATGTCGAAAGTTATCGGCTGTCTAGCATCTGGGTTTGGAGGATGAGAGCACTGAATTCCTTTGATCAAAAGAGATGTTTGAGAATTGTTTATTTCAGGAGAGGGGGCACCGTAGATTAATTTGTGAAAAAAATTGGATGCTGCTTAGATAACCTTTGATTGACCGGGCTTGGAGGTTCTTACAGGTGTTAAGTTAGGAAATGAAAGATGTGATTGAGAGGAGGGAGAAATCGGGAAATGGCAGGTTGTACGAGAGGTGGAAAGCTTTAAATCATCTCCAAGCAGTTAGATAAGATTGGATGGTTCTGGGTGAAACTGCTTGGAGGATCGAACCGAGTGACGCGTTGAGGAGGTTTTAAGGGATGCGTTATGGGAATACGAGTTGCGAACAGTGAGGTACTGGGGTTGGCGATGGGTCCGCCTCCGGGGAGAGGGGGCACTGTAGATTAATTTGTGAAAAAAAAAAAATTGTATGCCGCTTAGATAACCTTTGATTTAACGGGCTTGGAGGTTCTTACAGGTGTTAAGGTAGGAAACGAAAGATGTGATTGAGAGGAGGTACAGATCAGCTTTGTTTACCCTCCGTGAGAATGGTTCGTCGGGAAACAAATCAGCGTTTGCTTCCGCCTTAAATACTATCCACTTTCCGATCGGAGGATATATTGGCATGGCCAAATGATACGAGGATGTTGGGGAAGTTGGAAGTCTCGCCGGTGGAGGCGAGGTTAAGCCTCGGTGTTGTGGAGAGCGTGTGGCTGGTCGAGCAGAGCGACGGCCGCGATGAAGCTCGGCGGTGGTGACTGGCGGAAAAGGAGTGAGCCTAGGGCCGGCAGATTTCGACGGAGGATACGAAAGATCCCTGTACTGGGTCTCGTCGTCGTACGGAAAAAGTTGAGTCTGTGATATAATGGCTAAAGGAGCAAAACCGAATGCTGGAAAACTTTCGTGGAACTGAGGTAAGTTGGCTGTATATATACACACCTATGTGCTTAAGGTGATTAGCCGACGAGCTCCACCTGGGCCAGACTGATTGATTATCTGATCGTGCTCCTCCCGAACCTTGTTAATAAAACATCATTTGTTCGTTCAGGTGCAGGAGGACGTGAAGGAGAGCTCGGTTCAGTGTTGCTGTCCGTGAGACGCGGCTCTCTGCGTGCGCAATGAACACGGCGCGCGAGTAGCATACTCAGTTGAGTTTTTCCGCGTCTTGTGTTTGAGTGCTTTAAACTCTTTTTAATGTTTCAATTGGCAAGGCTTAAAAACATGTGCAAATGATAAGCTTTCGTGACGATACGCAGCAGTCGCCCGTCAACTCTCTTGAGCGTCTTTTTAGGCTGGCCTCAGCCAGTCGGTTGAGATCGCCGTGGGCCCCTATAATCGTCACCACCTTTCACCCCACTAGCGACGGCTCATTCTATCTCATTCTCTCACTCTGAACACCGGAGCACCTCAGGGATGTGTCCTCAGTCCAGTACTGTTCACACTACTTACCCATGATTGTGTCGCACACCAGCAGGACAATCATATCATTAAGTTTGCTGATGATACAACAGTGGTGGGCCTCATCTCGCATAACAATGAATCAGCATACAGAGAGGAGGTGAAGGTATTGGAGCGTTGGTGCAAAAATAATCTGTCCCTCAATGTCAGCAAGGCGAAGGAAATTATCTTTGACTTCAGGAAGTCTTCTACTACTCACCCTCCACTACTTATAAATGGTGCTGCAGTGGAGATAGCAGGAAGCTTCAAGTTTTTGGGAGTTCATATAACAGACGATTTCTCATGGAACAAGAACATCGCCTCTTTGGTGAAGAAAGCCCAACAACGACTACACTTTCTGAGAGGACTTAAAAAGCAGACACGAGTAACATCATCATGATTGACTTCTACAGATGTGTAGTGGAGAGCATCCTGACTAACAACATCACAGTCTGGTTTGGCAGTTGCTCGGCTGCTGACAGGAGGGTCCTACAGAGGGTAGTAAAGGCTGCCCTCATCTTGTACCTGTGTCTCTTGGGGGCCCAGGGATGAATACTGGACATTATGTAATGGTCAGAAATTGCACTTAATGTTCAGAAATTGCACATTTTATTTAATGCCTATTATGGCACCACTTTACTCTAAGGACTAACATTTAACTGCTTATTGTTGCACACTATGATCTACCTCATTGCAATGTTTGCAGACTCAGCAAATGCTGCACACATTGTCTGTTGCATTATGTTGTTAGTATTGTGCTATTGTTAGATATGTCCCTATTTTTGTACTATGATGCTCTCGGAGATACTGTGTTTAGTTTCTTCCTGTAGGGAGGAATGACAATAAAAAGTACTTGACTTGACTTGACGGCCCTGGTTGTGCGCCTGCACGGAGATGCGGAGGGGAGAAAGGCATCGGAACTCAACAGTCTCAACATTTCCCGACGCGACCTGATATTTAGATTTTTTATTTGTTTGACAGGGAAAGCTGTGCGCAAACAGAAACACACACACACGCACACATAATGAATATTAATTTATTAAAAAAAAAAAACTTTCAATTTAAAAAAGGGCACTTTCTCTCGAGATAGAAAAAGGGCAGGTGCTCAAGCCCGCTTTGATGTCTATGTGTGCACGTGCCGGTACACCACTGACATTCGCAGCACTCACGTTCAGTCTATCAGCGAGATACATCCAGCTGCAGAACAGCAGAACCTTTATGTCACAGCAGTCTCAGGACAGCAGTGCCAAGCCAGCAGCATCAAGCCGGAAGTGGGCGGAGCAAAAGTTATCTTACTAAGCGTAGCGCCATGTAGTGTTTTGATCACTTCAAATTTTTAATCTACGTTGATGTCAAGTCCGCATTTTATTATAACGATTTAATCAGATGATAGACAGATGAGGTAGATAGACAAAGCAAAGCTTGAGGATTTGAACATTTGATTGATTGATTTTTTACAATTATTTTTCCATTATACACATTATCATACATAAGTAGCAAAAGATTAAAAATAAATAAATCTAAAGAAAATAAAACAAACAAATGTTAAAGCAAAGCAGGCACATATTTAACAATAATTATCAAAATTGACAAAAGAAAACTAAAATAAATCAAAACTCGAGAAACATGCAATTTATTTTGAGGCCCCTTTTGTCCATGCACTCATCGAGAAAAATGTCCATATTACCCTTAAATTGGAACTGGAAAACAAAAGGTTATTTGGCCAGTTGCTGGTCGTCAGCCATTTCGGCCTGTGAAAGCTTGAAGAAGAGTTTTCTTCTGGTCTTCCTCTTTCAGTTGGAGGAACCTCAGCTCTTTCACCAAACCTCTGAAGACACAGAGGTTTTTCCACAGCCATCCAACTGCAGTGTGGAGGTCTTTTGTTATCCTTGGCTCCTGAATGAGGTGTACAAACAAATGGAATGAAGTGTTGGAAATACCTTCAATAATACTGTGCATTCAATAGCACATAATACTAAAAAGTCAAGAGCTTTAGGATGTAGCAAGCATTATCAAGTTTTGATTGTTTTTTTGTTTTCTTAAGTGCCCCTATTTGAGATATAAAAAACATACCCTGCTGCAGATTTAAATCTCCTGCTCTTCTGGCACTTGCACGCAGTGAGGACATGTTTCCTACTGAAAAATTACGGTAATTTCTCATTTGTATGTAGTCTGCTGGACAGAGAAAGACGTAAGTGAGAAAAAGATACCTTTCAACAGGAAAATTATCCAAGAGAATGAGGCACCACCATTTTAGTATTAGAGGAAAAATAAGGAAAAGCAAAAATTAATATATCATCAAATTGAATTAAGTCCCAATTATCTTTTTAAACAACAACTTACAGCTGTGAAATCAAAGGGCATCTCAAGGACCATGTACAGAGCATACTGACATAAAGTTTATTACACGTTTAGGCTACAACGGCCTAACATAAACTATTCAACATAACTATTTAATACAGAGGTCAAGAAAAGCACTTTTGTTTATCCAAACGAACGAAACGAAGTTTTATATATATATATATATATATATATTATCGCCTTTGCGATCTTTGTGCAGCCCTAATGTGTGTGTATTTATAAATATATATATATATATATATATATATATATAGAGAGAGAGAGAGAGAAGATTTGCACTGGCTACCAATAGCTGATCGCTAGTGGCATAGCAAGTCAAGCCCAGGCCCATATGCAAAAAAATTGTACGGGCCCCCGCAAACGATATGGGCTCCAACTCGGTTAACTTGTTGTTGATTTTTCTGATGTAAATAACATTAAGTGACTATTCACAAGATGTTTTAATTATGGTATAAATGCTTGGAAATAATATTTAACGTTTTCAAGTCCATTCATTGTAGCACACAAGCCACCCAATAATCACATTAAGCTTTGTGCTTTGTTACTTTTATTATAACACAAAGTCTCAGCCTTCTGTCAATTTTAAGATCAAATACAAACAATAAATGTGCTTTACGCTGTTTTCACGAGTTCGCACTAACATATAATGTGATTGAGCAATTAGTAGCCAGAGGGAGGGCTCCGAGCTCGGGTTAAAGCCCGAACCCAGAGAACTCCCCAAAAGAAGCTAATGGCATGAGACAGCAGCCGGAGAGAAAATTATAAGTAGCCCCCAAAAATATGCGTGACGTGAAGAAAAGTAAGGTGTGCGAGGAGGCGGCAGGGCGACTGTGAGGGGTCGTGCGGTGCTTGAACGGGAGCTGCGACTCTCCACGTCGGATGGCAAGCCCTACCTGTCGCCGAATGAGGAGCACGATGGAAGGCCAGGTGAGGGACTCTCTCTGCATCCGAAGGGAGCTGCGGCTCTGCTGCACTGGAAGGGAGAGTCCCTCTTGCAGCTGAAAACGTGGCATGGTTTAAAGCGTCAGATGGAGGGCTCTCACTGTGACCGAAGGGATCTGCTGCACCGGAAGGGGGAGCCCTGTCCAATGCTGAATAAGCCTTGAAACTCGCAACGACGGATGGAGGGCAGTATCAAATTTAAGCAGGGCACTGCAGCGGCAGTATAAAATTAAGCAGGGCACTGCAGCGGCAGTATCAAATGAGCAGGGCACCGCAGTGGCAGTCTCAAATTAAGCAGAGCACTGCGACGGCAGTATCAAATTAAGTCGGGCACTGGGGCAGCAGTATTAAATGAGCGAGGCACTGTGGCGGAAGTATCAAATTAAGCGGAGCACTGCAGCGGCAGTATCAAATTAAGCAGGGCACTGCCGCTGCAGTATCAAATGAGCAGGGCACCGCAGTGGCAGTCTCAAATTAAGCAGAGCACTGCGGCGGCAGTATCAAATTAAGCCGGGCACTGCAGCATGGTTTAGAGTGTCAGATGGAGGGCTCTCACTGCGACCGAAGGGAGCCGTGGCTCTGCTGCACCGGAAGGGAGAGCCCTGTCCAATGCTGAATAAGCCTTGAAACTCGCAACGACAGATGGAGGGCAGTATCAAATTTAAGCGGGGCACTGCAGCGGCAGTATCAAATTAAGTGCAGCTCTGCAGCGATATTCAGTCGATAGGTAATTTTTTTATTTTTTATTGACAGCTTTGTAGACTGGGCATACGAGACGGGCATGAGCTCCGCCACAATAATTACAGGCATAAAGAAACTTGCAACGTTGTCTAATGCATTTACCCCCGTTGAAATTGTGACAAACCTGTTCAGCAACCGAGAAGGGAGGCCTTGAACTTCCCTTGGAGACCAGATCTGCATAAAAAGTTGCAGCGCGTGGGACGTAGCTAGTGGATTTGGGTTGGACCATGTCTGGACAGGCAGGGATAGCGGGATTAACTTGAGGGCAGGAAGATGTGGGGTGGGCTAGCGACCTGCAGAGTGCGCATGTGATGTTGCAACATCCTAAAAACACTCTGTTGTGGAGATCAGGGTCCAGCGCGCCCCAGTAGGGGCACTGGTTCCACTGAGCCACGCGAACCGCACATTTGGCAGAGAATAATTTGTGGTATGTATAGAAATGACCACCTCCGTAGGACAGCGCGAGTTCTGCGACTATGGCCAAATAATCGTCGAGTTCGCGCCGTCTATGGGGAAAAACTGAGCAAATAACGTCTGTGTAGCGGCTGAAAGCGATGGGGAATTCGGAAAATGAGAGGATGCGAGATGAGTTAGGAGCAGGGTTTTTCAAAGTGACGGAGAAATTTCCGCAATCAATAAGCCGATTTGATTCGGCGACGGGGAGGAGAGAAAGCAGAGATGAGAGATCAATATCCGCACCTGCGAGGATCTGAGATCTGATGTTGTGAGTCACTGGGGGTGGTTCTGAAGCAATGGCATTCAGTGGGGCAGGAAGCGATGTAGCAGATAGTAAAGTGAACTGAGTTTTTGAATGGAGAACAGAGCTGGAAGTGAGGGAAATGGGGGAGCTGTGACTAAAGGCGGAGGCAGCCTCACGCTTGCACTAGCCCCTGGAGCTTGAGGTAGGGAGTAAGAAGAAGTTGGAGGAAAAGAGGGAGGAGGTCAGTTAGCTTGCATCGCTGGCTGGTATTGTCCTGAACCGGCGTTTACGGTGAGTGGCCTACTGAGAGAAGAGGGGGGCGGAGGTTGAAGAAGAGAAGTGATAGGGTAGCTGGGCTTGAGCGGCTAGCAGAGGCATCCTCACGCTAGCGTCTGCCACCGGAGCTAGATTAAAAGCAGGAAAGGAAGAAAAGGGGTGATGGGGTATGATAGCCTGTGATGCAGCGGGCAGCGCGGTGCCAGGAGGAGCTGCGGCATCTGGTTGAGCCGAGGAGTGAGGCGGTACGGGATCTGGGAGGGCGGAGTCTGGGGCACGGCCCTGGCTTGCTGATGGCCTGCTGTTTCTCTTCGATCGTGGGGGGCTGGAACTGGACCTAGAAGATGAAGTGCCAGAGACATGAGAGGCGCGGGGCTCGGCGGCATCACTTGGCCGAGAAGGAAGCGCTTTTGCTCCGTTGGCTTGCGAGGCAAGTGCCTTGGGGCCGGTGGCTTGAGAAGACGGCATCTTCGAGCCGGTGGCTTGAGTTGGAGCGGCTAGCTCGTGGTCGGAAGGAGAAGATACTACTTTGGACATAGTAGCAGACGAGTAATGCTGGAAAACTGTCGTGGAACTGAGGTAAGTTGGCTGTATATATATATACACGTATTGTGCTTGTTAAGGTGATTAGCTGACGAGCTCCACCTGGGCGAGACTGATTGATTATCTGATCGTGCTCCTCCCGAACCGTTAATAAAACATCATTTATTTGTAGTGAGATAACTATATTTGCTTCAGTTCAAGCGGTATGTGAATCAATTATATTTTCCTCTTTAATATTTGCAGCACAAAATAAACATGAATATATATTTGATTGCATATTGAAAAAAATCTGAACAATTTAATTCAAATGAATGTCTCATGAAATCGATCAATTAGAGTTTCAAAAACATCAGTAAGCCTACATTTTATTGCTTTTTTTCGTGTTAAATGTGAAGAATGACAGGTTGGATGCCACAGACTTTTTTTGGCTGAGTATAGGTGTAATTTTCACATTAACTTCATGCAGTATAACATGATTTTATTATCGTAATTTTGACTTTATTCTTAAAATATTATGACGTTAATCTTATTTATTTATTTATTTTTCAGCGTGGCACTAAAATGCTGCTGTAGGCTATTAGTACTGCATGCAAACACAATCTTGGCACAGCCCCATTCGTTCCCTTTTTTCAATTAAAAGTTCCCCCTCGGCACGGTGGGCCCATATGCACCTGCATACCCTGCATACCCAGACGCTACGCCCCTACTGCTCGCATAAAATTCAAGGCATTAATGTTTGCCTACAAAACAACCACTGGCTCTGCACCCCTTTACCTAAATTCATTACTTCAGTCTTATGTGCCCTCCAGAAGCTTGCGTTCTGCAAGTTAACATCGCTTTATTGTGCCATCCCAAAGAGGCACAAAATCACTTTCACAGACTTTTAAATGTTCTCTCCTGGTGGAATGACCATCTTCAAGAATCGGCAAAAAACTCATCTCTTCCATCTTTATTTGACCCTCTAACTCTAGCACTCTCTATTCTAATTCTATTCTTAAAAAAAAAAAAAAAAACTTGCCCCTTTTAGACTTGTACTCTATTAATTTACTAACTGCTTGTTTTCTTAAAGGGGTATAATATGATGTTGCTAAAAAGAACATTATTTGGTGTAATGAAATGTGTTTATGCGGTTTAAGGTTCAAAAACATTATTTTCCACATACTGTACATTATTGTTTCTCCTCTATGCCCCGCCTTTCTGAAACGTGTCGATTTTTACAAAGCTCATCAATATATATATATAGTGAACTTCATACTCCACAGTCAAATTTTGAGGCAAGCTAACACACTAACATTCACTCAGACAATAGTCAGTTATGGGATGTAGATACATTTTAACTATGAGGTTCAACTTTTTTTTTTTTAACTGTGTCTGAAGGGGCAAGTTTTCAAATATTAAATGCTATAAATTTATTCAGTTTATAATATTTAAAATGTGATGTATGAGTTTGGTGTCCCATACTCAGAATTTGTGCTCTGCATTTAACTCATCCAAGAGCACACACACAGCAGTGAGTAGTGCACACACATACACACAGTGTATGTTAGCCATTTTTGCTGCGGCACCCAGAGAGTAGTTGGGGGTTCGGTGCCTTGCTCAAGGGTCTCACCTCAGTTGTGGTATTTTGAAGTTGGAAGACAACGCTGGTCATTCACTCCCCCCACCTACAATCCCTGCTGGTACTGAGACTCGAACCTGCGACCTTCAGATTACAGTCTA